TCCTTTGTGAGTGATGTTGAACGCTTTAACTGTCCTTGTTGTTAGTAACATTGGGTAGGTAAGTGATTGTTGAGTCTGCCAGTACAAACGATACCCGCGGTATCGTTCCCTAAGAATGACAATGTCCATGAGTTTCCAATTGCAACTGAAGTCAGAGTATTTTGTTGCCCAAACATCAGAGAATCTGATGGTTGTAGTTTAGAGTTTGTCAGTTGTCTATTTAAGAACGTCATTAATCTTCTGAACTATTCTGTCAACCTGTATAATCTCCAAGATCTAACGTCTCCCGTGAATAGCTCCTTGTTCGCCTCAGCCCTGAGCTTGTAGAATTAATGTTATCAACGTGTATATTCCACCTTTTCCTGGCAAGCTCAACCTCTGACTAGATTATATGAATAGACATAGGAAATTACCCTGATCAGGAACACCGGAGTTCATAACTAAGTACACAGTGATCCAAAATGGTAGAGAAGGTCTGGTGTTGGTGAAATCAACCTTTCTGGTATGAATGACTGGGCTAGAGTTGCCCCACGGGCACACGTATATACTGCTACACGAGGGAGAATCACGCATTCGTGACTCTTCCTCAACGTCTCTCCAGGTATGTTAACGTGTGTTCCACGCCGCCATATTAATTCAGTTTAACTTAGTCAATTTTGTGAATATCAGTGTTCATGTTGTAACAGTGAAATTGTCATTTACCCAGTGAAAGGATTAATATAAAGTAAGTGTCGTCTGGACCGTTGCCAGACGTATGGTTTGTTAAGTTGAAGTTAGACATTTACGCTTTTGTGACTCTTCCTCAACGTCTCTCCAGGCCAGTGTGTTGAGCTGAATACTCATCGGCTACCTTGGGTCGGTAGCCGGGTTGGACGATGCCGTTAATTCGACACGATTAAACTGGGAAGTGTGTTTCCTGCAAATCAGGCCCCAGCTCCCTTGGCGTCGGTCTACAACCGACCCCTAACCAGGGCTGTCGGAATTTCCGAATCTTGTTGACTGAACACGCTGATTGGTTCAACTGCTCGCGTTGTGATTGGTTGCGAGTCCATGACGTAATTACTATTTTCTATAATAGAATGTGTGGTGAGGGGTAACGAAGATCCCAGATACAGTAATCATATTAGAGTAGTCCTCATACTCGGTGAATTTCATTGTTCCTGTCATTAGTTTTATAAATTTCTGAATAATAAACACTGCATTATACACCATTCAGAGCGTTATATGAGATCACATTGGAACAGACCCTTGGCTTCCTTGTCTCGACTCTCGATATCGCTTCATGTGTGACTCAGCAGAATATAATTCTGCTAAAATATCGCTCGTAAAATGTAGGTAAGGTAATTAAATACATCTAAAATTTATTTATGTGTATTCTATATGGTATTTTAGCCACGAAAAAGCATATTTCCTAAAGTCGGTAATTTACCAACTGTCGGAGCAGTGACGTCACGGCTTACCGACTACGTCATCAATTTACCGATTAGCAGACGAAGTACCGGATTTGAACCAATCAGCGTGTTCGATAAACAAGAGTCGGAAATTCCGACAGCCCTGCCCCTAACAGCGATCTTCATTTGTTATGGAGCCACCATTATACCCTGGGGCACTCCTCACAGTTACATGGACCTATGTATTATTGTATCTTGATTGAGGGATTACTAACAGAAATATGGAAATCCCTGGTTAAGTAGTGAACCCATAACTATTAAGAGTACCAAGAAATATGTTATGTGAGTTGAGTACATGAACTGAAGGAAAAGTACCATGTTGTTCATGCCGATAGAACGTGATGTTATAAGTTGATCTGGGATATTGTCAAGTGTCATATAATCATCTGTAGTGACAATGGAATAATATAATGATTGTTAAATGTTGTAATCAAGAATTGAAGATGTAATTTGTTACTTATAAAAGTAAAAGCGCCAATTGCAAGAACGGTTATGGGGTGTACGACGCCATTTACGATGACCTTCTTGCCCTGGTCTTTTTCAGCAATATCGCCTTAACACATGGAATTCTGCACTTTTCGAAGCTTTGGAGGAGTCTCGAAACAAGTTTCCTGGTGGGAATTATTAGCTAGTGCTGTACTCAAAATATCGAAACTTCGAGATCTCTCCAGAGCTTCAAAAGGGTGGTATAACTGAAACAAGATCAGGGCAAGAAGGTCATCGTAAACGGAGTCGTACACCCCACGACTGTTCTTGCAATTGGCCCTACCTGAGGGTCCAGTGTTATCTGATCGTGTATAATAATTACTGAATCTTATTTGTCAGAGGAATAATACAAAAATTGTCTAATGAAGTAATAAGTACTTGGAGTTGTTTAATGATATAATAACTACTTGAAAGGTTTAATGAATTAATAAGTAATTGTGGATCTATTTTATCAATGGAAGTTAAGTAACATCTTATTCACTCACTGTAAATAAAAGTTGAATTAGTAGTCTACGAGTATCACCTCTCTACTCCTTCTAAACATTGGTTCCCAGAAATTAATACTTACTCACGTGCGTATATACACTATACCACACTACCCAAAAGCTTTCCATGAGATATGTTATACTGTATTCTAACCAAAAGTCTGGTGGTGGCAGCCTACTTGTAAGTATAATAAGTGTACTAAGAATAACATGGTTCCCAGACTAACCCATGTATAAGAAGATAAGTAAAAACAGAGTATACTTCAGAAAGGTAAGAACATTGAAATTTAGAAAATATAATATACAGTATATGAAAAGAAATAAAAGACTTGGAAGCATAAGAAAAGAAATATAAGACATTTATGTATATTGTGGAACTAAAGACACAGCTTAGAAATTATTAAATAAATGCACCATGAAAGTTTAATATAAAACATACATAACTAAGACAAGAATTACTTATATAAGAATATAAGCAAGAATATAAAGTATATTTATAAATAAAGAATTGAAGAATATTAACAGAAAAGAATATCTGGATGGTAAAATATGAAGCAAAGAAACTCGGCCCAGTACACTATCGAAAGCCTTGGCAAAATCTAAATAAAATATTGTCGATATTACCGCCCTGTTCCAGAATATGGCTCCAAATATCCAATACCTTGAGCAATTGTGTTAAGCAGGAGAGCCCCGGCACAAAACCGTGTTGGCAATCCTTTACAAGGTTGTTTCGTAGTAGATGTTCCATCGCGGCATCTCTGATAATACTCTCAAGTACTGTACTTTACATATTATGCTGGTCAGGCTCACCGGTCTGTAGTTGGTCGTGGAGTGACGATCGCCCTTCTTGAAGATAGGATCATGGGCATTTTGAGGCTATTTTGAAGCCATGAGCACTTGATATTAGGAGATATTCTGAAGTCAATAGTAAATACTCTTTACTATACAAAAATGATTAAGTACAATAGTGCAATGAAGAAAAAGTAGTGAAATTTTCTGGTGAAAAGGGGGGTCCGGACCCCAAAAACTACCCCCTGGATCCGTCTTTGCATTGTGACCTACTACACGTAGTTGATTTTCTATGACTACTCCAGTTTCCTCCTGTATTAACACTGGATCGGCTAGTAAGCTGACAAATGGTGAAAATTATAAACTAAAAACAAGGTAAATTAAATTAGGAAGCACCGTGTCTGAAGAACTCTTGCATTACACGCAGGCATATGCACCTACAGTGTGGTGTATGATTTAAGAAAATTATGACGGATCCTGGAGGTTTCCCTAAGCTGAATAAATCGTCTGGTCATAGCCAGAATAAATTTCTGAAGTGGAACAATCGACGCGAGAGGGTGGTCCTGCACTCTCTCCAAAGTGGTTATAATTTGTTCCGTCTTGATGTCTCTCTGCCACAACACGGCCCCAAGAGCTCTATCTCCTACATACATACATAAATTCCAAGTGATAGGGATGAAAAAGGTTCAGTGGAAGGACAACAGGTGCATGGAAGTGAGTACTAGGAGTAGAAATATGTGCCGTGGCTTAACACAGCGTGCCTGATTGTTATAGGATTATAATACAGACTCCCAACATCATGACCGACATGCAAGACTCACACTGCCGCAGCTCGAACCCAGAAGCCCAGTAGGTCCCGCCCAGTGGAAAAGGAAGTAGGTTAGTAGTAGAGTTGTTTGGTGACAGGTGAAGAGAAAGCACAGTCTTTGAGCTTATGCCAAAGACGGAAAGGAGCTAGTTGGAGAGGAAGAATTTTGAATCTCTGATCCTTAAATGTCAAAGTATTCGTTGCATGGAGGAATGAGGGTATCGTCGTATTTTAGTTTATTTTCATTTTATTTTTTTAAGAAAGTGGGGAATAGTTCTCCGATTTGCACATCACCAGGACCTACCTAATATCAGGCAGGAATATCGTTACTTCCTGGATATCCATCCAGTGTTCTCCCCACCCTATCCTTTTACTTCCTTGTTGGTCTTCTTCTTTCACTGTCGAATTCAACTAAGCTTATTTGTTTTTAGAACCGCTATTATTAGCAGACCCTTGTTGGCTCTCTGCCCGACCTTTCTTTCATTTCTGCATTGTTTTCTGATTCCAATGCTTCGTACCGTCTGCAATCTCTCCACCCCACATATTGCTCCCAAACTCACCATTTCTGTTGATTTAAACTCTCCTGGTGTGTTGCCATCAGTTGTGTTGCCATCATACAACTACAGTTGTGTTGTCACCGAAACATTTTTGTGTTGCTATCATAAGATTACAGTACAGTTGTGTTGCTACCGTAACACTAATTGTGTTGCCATCATAAGATTATAGTACATTTGTATTGCCACCGTAAAATTAAAATTGTTGACTTAAAATTACAGCATAAGTCATTATTAAGACAAGAAAATTGAACAAAATAAAGTAGTTTTAGAGAAAGCTGGGCCCCGGGGATGGCTTCATGCGAGCGAGCATACAGTACAGTATATGATGGACACCTTGTGTCAGATACATAAAGCAGCTCAGTGGGTGCAGAAGGTGGGTGGATCAGTAGGTGCATGTGGCTGTTCCCTCAGGTGAGTGACTAACCTCTGCTGGCTTGCAGGTGGTGGGTGCTGACCCGCCAAACAGTGCGGCTGTCCCGTCCCTCTCAGAGCCGTTGAAGGTTGTGAACAAATTGAAAGGCGGAAAAGCGGCGGGAAACTGTGGCATTAAGGAGGAACTGCTTATAGCTGGGGGAGAGGCCATGATCCATGAGTTGGTTGCCGTAGTTTCAGCCATTTTCCGCACGGGTACCATTCCATCTGTCTGGGTAAGGGGCCTGATCACCCCTATCTGGAAAGGGAAAGGGGATGGACAGGACTGCATCAATTACCAGAGGAACATCATGACTCAGTTTGCCAGGAAAAAATATGCATTCCTGATATTTATGGTGACACAGACCATGACATCTTCTATCTGCGACTTGTTTGTGCTGCGACTTGTTTGTGCTGAGTAACCTTTATTTATACTCGTAATATCAACATTTAACCACAGTATCTTCCATTCTATGAGCCCTGTCGTAAGTTTCCGTATAGAGGTCGTTCAAGCCACACAATATAATGTTGTCTCCGTGTCCATCAACCTGAGGCCTTGTAAGACTCACATCCGTCCACCTCACTACACCATCCCCATACTGTACCCTAGCCTGACGCCCACGATACACACACAAACAGACTGTTAACGTCTCCTATACACACAAACACACTATTAACGTCTCCTATACACACATAACACACTATTAACGTCTCATATACACACATAACACACTATTAACGTCTCCTATACACACATAACACACTATTAACGTCTCCTATACACACATAACACACTGTTAACGTCTCCTATACACACATAACACACTATTAACGTCTCCTATACACACATAACACACTATTATCGTCTCCTATACACACATAACACACTATTAACGTCTCCTATACACACATAACACACTGTTAACGTCTCCTATACACACATAACACACTATTAACGTCTCCTATACACACATAACACACTATTAAGGTCTCCTATACACACATCACACACTATTAACGTCTCCTATACACACATAACACATTATTCAGTAGTGGGCACAGCTAAACGAAAAGTTAGCTTCGCTAACCGCTAATCCGCTAACTAAAAAGTTAACTTCGCTAACGCTAAACCACTAAACAGTTAAAAAAAATTAGCGGAAGCTACCGCTAACTGCTAACCTTTATTAAATGAATTTAGCTTCGTTTATTTCTGTGTGGGGGGCTCTGAAACCCTTAAAAACAGACCTAGAGAGCTGAAATTTTCATATGTTGTCTTGTAGTTTAGTCATAGAGCTTTCCAAAAATGTATAGCATGACAAGATCAGATGATGATCAAGGTGTATACATACAATGAAATGAACAAATGAAATTAAACATTAGTTTATATTCAAGTTTCAACATACACTATATAATCTTTTTTACTGTACGAAAAGACAGAAAGTATTAAACGAACCCAAAAACTATAGTACTGTATAGCATAGGTAGCAAATAGCATCATGCCAACATCAGATGAAGATCAACTTATCAAGGTGTACACTGTACACAATTTCACAAATAGTTAATTTGCATTCTCATACAACCTATCGGTCTTATTCATTATTCATGAAAATATACAATACCAACCACATACACATTATACCAGTGCATTTTTATATAATTTATTGTTGGTCTTAGTCATGTAAATAAACAGAAAATTCTAAACTTTAATGAAAAGTAAGTTTTTAGAAAATTTTATTTGGCGCACACCTTGGATGACATCCTGGTTATGAACTTATGCAATACTTAGCATAACCAAATATATTGACACAAAAAAATCCTAATTAAATTAACAAATAAATGAGAAATGAAATTATACATTAGTTTACAATTACATTCTATGATTCTTTCCACATACACTGACAGTCTTTATTTACTGTAAAAAAAAAGTATTAAACTTTAATAATCGAAAAATTCCATTCACTCCGGCTGCAGTGGCTGGGCCTTCTCCATCGCCTCGACGTGATGCTGGTTGCCCTTTATAAACATCAGCCTCTCAAAGTTGCCATCTGACAGGGTGGCTCTCTTGGCCCTCAAGATATCTTTGCACGTAATAACACGCAGTCAGCCAAGCGTGCCTGACTGGCTGTTGGAGACAAGCATCGCGGCGTCACATGCTTACAACAGACAGGAACAAACATGTATAAATTTTGTTAGCGGAACTAAATTTAGAGGAAGCTAATTGGTCCGCTAATGGTTTCCAAAGTTAGCGAAAACGCTAATCCGCTAACGAGAAAGTTGGCTTCGCTAATTAGCGGTTAGCGGAACCGTGCCCACCACTGACATTATTAACATCTCCTATACAATACACACATAACACACTATTATCGTCTCCAATACACACATAACACACTAGTAACGTTTCCTATACACACATAACATACTTGTTAACGTCTCCCGCACACACACAAAAGTTCCAAAGGCAGTGATATACGAAAGCATAATCGCCAAACCAGATTCTCTTTAGCTCCTATATACTGTTCTAAGGAAGGAGTACCCGGCCATGAAGCACCGAAATACTTACACAAAGACGATATAAATCAAATACATACAGTACCGTACTGTACAGACAAATAATTTCACAGCAATGTACAGTGCATCAGGTGGCCCTTTCCTCTCACATACTCTTTTTCTTTTCTTTTATCCTCTTCACCACTGATCGGCTCGTTAGCCACTTGGGCGATCGGTCACGTCTCAGTTATGCACTGTTGGCAAGTACTGGGCATCCACCGGCTCCTGAATGTACCTGAACCTGCTCCAGTGTTGGTCAAGTCTGGTCTTGAAAGAGCTCACACTCGGTGCCGTCACAACACTTTCTGGTAGATTGTTCCAAGAGTTCACAACTCTCACTCCGAAATGTTTGTCCTCACAGTTTTCTGGACCTGTGGCTTCTTCAATCTTGAGCTGTGACCCCGTGTGGGGCGAGCGTCCGCCAGCTCCAAGTAAGAACACTCGACTGAGTAGTGCCCCTTGAGATGCTTATACACCTCAACTAGGTCACCCCTTGCCCGTCTGTAGTATAAGCTAGGCAAGTTAAGGCGCTCCAATCTCTCAGGGTAGCTGAGGTGCTGAAGTGCAGGCACCAGTCTGGTGGCCCTCCTTTGAACATTTTCAACCAACTGACAGTCCCTAGCATATCTCGGGGACCTGACGGGGTGACAGTACTCCAGATGGGGAAGCACTTCACTCTTAAAGATCGTTACGAGAGACGGACCGTCTAGATATCTGAACGACCTTCTTATAAAACCCAATAATTTATTTGCCTGATTTACCTTCTTCTCGCAATGGCCCGAGAACTTCAGTTCATTGTTAACACACACACCTAGGTCCTTCTCACATTCAGTCTCAAATAGTGCAGTTTCTTCATCCCGTTGGGACATATGATACGCCTCCTTACCGATGGTACGCCCCAGGTGCATCCTCTTACACCTCGTGACATTGAATCTCAGCAGCCATTTCTTTGACCATTCTTGGAGTTCACAGAGATCCTTCTGCAGCTCTTCACAGTCCGCATGGTTTTTGATTTCCCGAAATAACTTGGCGTCATCGGCAAACATTTGTATGGAGGAGTGTACAACGTCAGGCATGTCATTTATGAAACAAACAAACAACAGCGGGCCCAATACACTGCCCTGTGATACCCCGCTTGTGACAGGTACGGACGATGATTTCATGCGATTAATCACCACACACTGCTTGCGGTCATGTAGAAAGCCTTCTATCCATTCCAGGACATTTCCCCGAATTCCGTACCTTTCCAGTTTGATTTTCAACCTTTTGTGGGGTACGCTGCCAAAAGCCTTGGCAAAATCTAAGGAACAATAATGATCCCGTAGATTGGGAAAACAGTTTCTTTTCTCCCTTTATCCTCTTCGCCACTTTTACTTTTATCCTCTTCGCCACTGATCGGCTTGTTAGCCGCTTGGGCGATCGGTCACGTCTCTGATTACTTTTCCTTTTCATTTATCTTCTTCACCAAAAGATCGTCTCACTAGCCGCCCGGGCGATCGGTCACGTCTCTGTCACGCACTGTTGGCAAATACTGTACTGGGCATGCACCGGCTCCTGAATGTGCCTGAACCCGCTCCAGTGGTGGTCAAGTCTTGTCTCGAAAGAGCTCACACTCGGTGCCGTCACAACACTCTATGGTAGATTGTTCCAAGAGCATACTATACTGTACTGTACTATACTATACTGTACTGTATTTTCACTGTGTCAGGATATGGTTTTGAATTTCCTTATTTGGTAAGCGTCAAACATATACAGTATTATTTCAACTATAACCCCCCCTGGGTATAAGCAGCTAACAGTTATCCGTGGTCAAATTGCCTTACTGTTTACCTGCACTGTCTCGGCACACACTACAGTATATTCCCACGACCTACCTCTACCTTATACTGTACCTGCATTGTCTATATTCATGCTGAACTGTATACCTGAATAGTTTATAAACATACGTATCCAATTGTAAACCTGTATGGCAACTTTACGGAATAGTTATTATTATTAGTATTGTTACTCAACATCTAAGGAGTAAGTGACTCATAGAAAACCGCCATAATGTCAGGGGTAACGGAGATATATTTTTACTCTCGCTTGTTGAACCACTCGAATTTAACAAAAAGGCAATATAACGAATGATGGATGATTTGTACCGAGAACGAGCATCTTACCATCAAAACATTGTTATATATAGATGATGACTTCGTAGGGTGGAAAGAAAAGGAGATAAAATGAGGTGTTTCACTCTAAGTCAAGGACGTTTGTCGTGAAGAACACTCGCTAGCACTTAGGGCAATTTATAGTAGAGGACATAATTAGATACAATATAGGCTTTTTGTGTTTAATGTTAATTTTAGACAAAAAATAATACGATTTTCTTCTTTGACTCTTTTGGGGCATTTTACCATTAACAAAAAAGTCCTATAACTATTTATGCCCTCTACTATAATTTGACCAATACTTTATCCTTTTCGCCACTGATCGGTTCGTTAGTCGCTTGAGCGATCGATCACGTCTCTGTTGCGTACTGTTGGCAAGTACTGAGCAAGCACTGGCTCCTGAATTTATCTGAACCTGCTCCAGTGCTTGTCAAGTCTGGTCTTGAAACAGCTCACATTCGGTGCCATCACAACACTCGCTGACTGGTTGTTCCAAGAGTTCACAATTCTCACTCCGAAAAAGTTACCCCTTACAGTTTTCTGAAATTATGGCTTCTTCAACCTTGAGCTGTGACCCCTTGTGAGGCGGATGTCCGCTAGCTTCCGATATGGATACTCGACCGAGTAATGTCCTCTGAGGCGTTTATAAACTTCTATTAGGTCATCCCTTGCCTGTCTGTAATATAAGATAGGCAGTTGCGGGCGTTATAATCTCTCTGGGTAACTGAGGAGCCGAAGCGCAGGCACCAGTCTGTTGGCCCACCTTTGGGTGTTTTCAATCAACTGACAGTCTCTAGCGTATCTCGGGGACCAGACGGGGTGATAGTTCTCCAGACGAGGAAGTACCTGACTTTTCAAGAGCATTACGAGAGACCTGAGCTACCTATGTGTAAGACCCACTGGCTTAGTTGCTTGATTCACCTTCTTCTCACAATGGTCCGAGAACTTCAGTTCATTGCCAACATACACACCCAGGTCCTTTTCACCTTTGCTCTCCGTTAATGTTGTTTCTTCGTCCCGCTAAGACATGTGATACACCTCCTTACTGTTGGTACAACCTAGGCTAGGTTAGGTTAGGTTAGGTTATTGTAGTCAATATTCAGGTGAAATAAGCTGGGGTCTCTAATCTTCAGGTATTTCGTTTATTCTTATCACTTGTTACTTTTACTTTTATCCTCTTCGCCACTGATCGGCTTGTTAGCCGCTTTTACCATCATCCAGACCATCTTGTAACACAGAGGTCACACCCCAGTCGATGCCAACTTTATGTTCACTCCCCCACCAGACTGGAAAACAGCTGACTCATCCCTAATGAAACAAACACCAGATTCTTAATAACTTAAATTCTTCATCATAAAACCGGAAAGTATTTTTAATAACGTTTTTAAATAAACAAATATATAAATAAACACACAGAATAAATAACTAGATAATTACGTAAACATATAGATAAACAAATCATCACAATAGGTTTGTTACATTCTCCAACCCAAGCTGAAAATGTGTAAAGGCTGTCTTACTCTCGCGATCAAAAATGTCTCCAGAAATGTACTGAGGTTCTCTTGTAGTCTGAAGTGTTATCTTGTGTCTACTGAGAGGAAGAAATATAACGTGAGACTCTCTAAGACTCCGAGCCCATTTGTGTTACTTGATGAACGGGAAAAGAAATCTACAGAAAAAGTCACAATTTTAGCTCGAAAAAAAGTCGCAGGAAAGTATGTCACATATTATTTGAATATCATTATAGGTTAGGTTAGGTTTCATTATTTCCTTTGGTCATTGAAAACTAACTCTCCGAAAGTATCGATTTTTCAAAATGTTTAAATATGAAACCCTAATTAAATTGTAACTTTTTTTTCCCTACATTCGAGTTACTTACCGCCATAGGCAGTCTCGTGCAGGCGGCGGGGAGACTCCTTCCTTCTTTCTTTCCTCCTTCCGTCCTCCTCCTTCAAGTTTTCTATTCTTCCTTCCCCTTTTAGTGATGCCACGTTTCTCAGCTTTTCTACAATTGTGACACGTTCTTCCTTTTCCTCAACAGGAGTGACACGTTCCTCCTCTTCCTCAACAGGAGTGACACGTTCCTCCTCTTCAACACGTTTCTCCTCCTGCTACTGCAGTGATGATTAGTTCCTCCTTCATTTTACTTCATCTTTCGTAATTACACGTTTTCTTCTTTCTTCTGCAGTAGCGACGCGTTCTTTGAGCAAGATATTCTGGTTCTGTGGTTCTCTCCGGGATCAGGAAGTTCTGTGGTTCTCTCGGGGATCAGGAATTTCTGTGTTTTTTTAAAGAATATTCCAAACCTTTATATTTGTTTTATCAAATGATCTTTGAATTCTCTTTCACTTAGGTAAACTACAGTTAGATGAAGTTTATATAAGTTTGTTGAAGTTTCAATATTATCTAAAGATATTGGTATTTACACAATGTAATTGACAAACGAGTCATACAATTAAGAAATATCACCCGCTTCAGGACGATGACTTATCCTCGTGAGTACGATGACTTAATCTAGTTTGCTGAGTTATTCTTTTGGTCTTTTGTGAACTTGCTGTTTCACTGTTAAGTTTCTTCTCTTTCTATAACCAGTATTTAATTCGAGAAATGTACATGTGAAAAATTCTTAATACAAATCATTCGCACACAAATTTCCTTCAAAATTATTCAGCTTTTCTCGCTGACTCACAGCACTACAATATTGTTTCAAAATTCCCAACGATTCACAAGATCGTATGACATCATTCTCAATGTATGTCAAATTTTGTATCCTCAGCACGATACTCAGTATACGAAGTCAAAAACATCAACAAAAACCTGATGTGTTTTTGTTTTGCAGGACAATGTTGCCAAATCAAAGTGGCGTAATGGATGGATATTACCGCTATGAGGGAGTGGAAGCCATCACTGGTAACGATATCCACATCACTTCCAGCGCCTCGCTCGTCAGCCTGTGGAGAAAAATAGTTTGTTAGGGATTGAACAATTGCGTTTTTTTACTTGTGTGTGTGTGTGTGTGTGTGTGTTTTACTCATTAACTTTAATTAAAGTTAAGTAAGAGGACCTGGGCGTCGTAGTTGACCAATCACTGAAAACAACACCAAAGTGGGAATAACGATGTAAAATGACGACCATACTCAAGGACTTCTGTATTCCCCTATACAAGCAACACACATTACTGAAAAGAGAGCTTATTAAATCGACTGAAACCATCCTAAGAATACAACATCTCACATACCTAGACAGACCAAATAGTTTATATAGTGACTGACAATTATTTAAGACAGACACGAAAGGACAGGTCCGACAGACATATTAAGACACCTGAATAAAGTGGAGTCAATATCTCAGCAGAGATATCCTTCAAGATCACACACACAAACACACACACACACACACACACACACACACACACACACACACACACACACACACGAAGAGGCTATTTCTAAGGCGTTGGGCGCGAGATAATCAAGGTAGGTATAGGTTGGTATATAAACAGTTCTTGCGTGGAGTGAAGTGAATGAGGCAAAAGCTTTCCCGCGCTCTCATGCATTCTTTAGGTGTTTTTCTCTTCCGCTATCTCTTTCTGTATATGTTTCTCTCTCTCCCTCGTTTTCACTCTACTTGGTTTGGAAATAGATTAGTGGATGAGTGGAACAAGTTACCAAACGCCATCATTAACTCGAATACGCTGGATAGCTTTAAACATAGGTTGGATAGATATATGAGCGATAGGGGTTGGGTGTAGACAGAACTGCCCAGTATGGGCCAATAGGCCCGCTGTAGTTTCTTCCATTCTTATGTTCTTATCTCTCTTCCTCCTCCCCCCCCCCCTTCCTCTCTCTCTCTGCGTGAAAATGACGAGAAAAGAAAGGCCTTTCCCTTGCTTGTTAAGATGACAGGTAAAAGGATGAGGTGGTCGGCTCGTTAGGGTTCCCCCAATGACCAATAAGGCTGTACTTTACTAAACCAACCAGTAAGCAACCTTGTTATCATACCCAAATTGGAGGGAAATTTACAAAGTGGGGTTGACTCTGACTTCAGCCAATCAGCACAGTCGGTTTACCCCGTTGGTCTTGAAATTGTTTGGTATTATATCCAAGTTGGCGGGAAATTTATGAATAGAGTTGGTGGGAATTTACAAATAGAATTTTAGCGAGATATTTACTGAAGAGGGTAGTTTAGGGAGGAATAAAAGAAAGGTGGTTAGCAGGAATTTACAAAAAGATAAAGCGGAATATTTACAAACACGGGTTTGGTTACGGGGAATTCTCAAAGGTAATTGGCTGCAAATTTAAATAGTGAGGACAAGTGAGGGTTTATTAGATTAGATTAGATTAAGTTAGGTTAGTGTTAGATTGATCAGGTTAGGTTAGTGGTAGGCTGGTTAATCTTAGGGTGAAATAATGTGGAGGAGGGAGTACTAATCTCCAGGTGATGCGGAATCTCGAAGAATACGAGCACTTGACTGAGGTAGATGATTAGCGTGTTGACTCACTCGACTGCCAGACACCTTTAATACTTCCCTGCCACCAACAACTACCAGGCCGTTCATTATGGTGACGGGTAGTAAAGCAGAGTTATCTCACAGTTCTATCTCGTGATCGAAAGCTATCTGAGAGGTAACTGGTCTTGGCAAGTCACAAACATACAATATATTATGGCCATGCGGGAACTGTGAGAGCGGGCGAACACTGACTGGTTAGGTTGGGGGTTGTCTAAGTTCAACTGGGCACATTTATTGTCTGCATTTATGGTTTGTTCTTGAAATGCTTGTGCTTCTTGTGGAGTTAATTTTAAGATTTCGGTGCTTTCAAGCGACGAGATATGAGAGAATAAGTTGGATCTTAGTGCATGAATGACAGAATGTTTGTTGAGTCTTCTCCTTGCTTACAAAGTGACGTCATTTATCACGCACGCGCTTATTGTTGTTAGCAGATGGCCAAAACTTCTTAATTTTTTGAGAGAGAGAGAGAGAAAAGGGGGGGGGGGGCGCTTGACCCCGTCATTTTAGTTACTACACCAAGTAATTGCACAAACGAACACAATTGTTGAATTATTCAGTCCCTCACGCTCCGTGCCTCCAGTTAAAACCAGAGCGACGTATTTCTCTTTTAACTTTTAATTGTTAATGACTATTGTATTTACTAAGGAAGAATGCACTTTTACAGACGACCTTAGTTGTTGACGAGCAGTAACACCCAATCTACACCTTAGGTATCATCTCATCCAATATCGCGGACCGGAAGTTTGAACACATCACATTAAAATGGTCCATAGATCCAGTACAAAGGATTTTTAAGTAATAACCTTAGCAGAAACATTTACAATAAACAAATAAGTGTCGACCTATACCAACCATTATTTTCAGAGTACAGGTATTGGGAATTATAATAATGAAAAACTATAAAAGAAATGCTTCCACCGTTTCACACAAAAAAGATAACGCTTCCTACCTTACAGTCGATTTTTACCCAACTCTGTGGAAAAGTTTTAATGCAATTGAGAACTTTCTGGTCGTGGGTGGGAATTATAAATGTTCTTAAGGTGAATATTTCTCTTAGTGAAGACCACTGACTTACACTACAGCACAAAACTAACATCAAAATATGCTGAGACCTTGCATTAACCAGACACGTTCACCAACAAGGAGAAATAAATAAGGGAGAGAGAATCCTTTAGACGTGAATCTCGTCTAACAGTCGTAGAATGAATGCTAATTAAGGTAGAGTCTCAGGAACCCTATTATTTTGGTGTTATTTTCTTTTGTGTTTCGTCTTAATTTAGCTGTTACGCCTGTTAGTTGTATTCACCTTTGTTAAGCCTCGTCTTGTTAGAAAAGGTATGGAACAAATTCATAGGTGGTGTAAGGGGTCACCTCCCAGCTAATTTCACCAATAAGACCATGAAGTATCGAAAATTACCAAAATAAAAGGAAAAATAACCGAAAGAAGAAGAAAAGAAGAAATAAAGAGGTGGATGGGAAGGGGAAGGAGGAAGAGCAGCAGGAGAATAAGAAGAGGAAGTAGAAGAGGAAAAAGAAGGGGAAGAACAAGAAGTGAAGTGAAGCTCCAGGTTGCCAAAGTACCTTCACCAGAGCTGTTTAGATTGGTCGACAAGATGCGATCAACCAGATCAGATATAGTCAACCAGGAGCAATTATCCAGACAGATGAGACTAGACACCATCGTCCAGACCAAATACCTTTGACCAGATCAGAAACACTCGACCAGAAGCGATAATCCAGACCAACCTCGACCAAACCGGATATAGTCGACCAAATTCAGACATACTCTACCAAACCAGACCAGGCATACCCAGAGTGGTCGAGCCATGTGATCGTCTGGTAGTGACTGGTCAATTTACGGGTAAGACTGAAGAATTACGAGGCTGAGTTTCGTTTTCTTTTACGACAGTTTGTGAGTTGTGGCTCTGGTAAAATGTTTGAGGTCATAATTTATCTTACCTTTAGGATCAAGAGATTATGGTTCAGTAGATCACCTGGAGATTATGCAACCAATCTTATTTCACCTATGATTAACTACCTTTATGTTAATGTAACAACCTAACGCAAAGTAACCTTCAATAACTTAACCTAACGTAAAGGTTAAGTTACTACTATATGGTCCAGGATGGAGATGTACTACTGTGTTTTGTACCAGAGATAAAGGTTACTATATTAGCGATGGTAACGAATATAATGACAAAAATTAAGAGAAAAGCTGATAAAAAGGATGGATAGAAATAGAGAAAAACTGAAGGAGGCAATGGATGAGGCGACATGGTGCAGGTGGGTGATGGGTGAGGCGACATGGTGCAGGTGGGTGATGGATGAGGCGACATGGTGCAGGTGGGTGATGGGTGAGGCGACATGGGTAGGGTAGATGGATAACTTTGGCCAGATAGATGGATAATATAAAAGGCAGCAAGAAGGTTATATCAAGCGTTTACTGATAGTTATTTTTATAAGTCATAATTGTTTGGTGTATGATAATTCCAGCAAGTAATTTATGTTTAAGAGGTTATTAATTTTAGTCTAATTTTCATATATGTTAAATACTTTACTGTACCTCTCATAAAATCACTGAAAATAACTTTATGGGTTAAGCTTCACTCCAATGGGTGATGCCGCACTTAGCCGCCGCCTCTGCGAGACTCTTAAGGGCAACTCGACTGTGAATATTCTAATTTAGATTTCTCTCTCAGCTTCAAGTAGGGACTATAAACTAGTTCAACTATGATTCTGATAATATATAATACAGCTCTTATGGTGGTAGCTGCTGCATCGTACGTCTGGCACCGAGCCGATCACATGTTTACATTCTGGCCCGCTGTTTGCCATACGTTAAGAGAAGATTTAGGTATCGTTCAAGCAAACCACAAAGAGATCACAAACACATATAATGTTTGTAAAAAAATTAAGCAGCAAAGTTTAAGAAAAAATCTATACACAATATCGTTCTTGGTCTGGTGAGTCGCGGGTAAAGTTGTTGATCCATAAAGAGGTCTTGCTGAGTACGGCAGTTACGTGACCTGTGATGGCGGTAGATCACCCCGTATACCGCGTTCTTACAACGTGCTTTGTATTGGTGTACAGATCAATCTGTCTCACCACACCAAAATGGATGAGAAACATGAAATAAAGGAAGGAAGGGAGAGGGAAAGGGTATTTCACAATCTATATCTTAACATATTTGAGAGAGAGAGAGAGAGAGAGAGAGAGTCTATCTCGGGCCATCGACACTGACTCACATCCTAGATATCTGAAGCCAAAGAGGGTGAGCAATTTTCTTAATCTAAATTACCCTGAGGAACGCGACGGCCCGGCCATTTAGCTGTACCCTTCCACCTATTAACACTCAGCCGGCATCACTACAAACAAACGGCTATTACCATTACCACGTATAGCTGAAACCCAACCTGGGGTCCCGCCCGATTCTCAAAGGGC